CTATTCTTTTAGTCCTGTTTATGTACTGTCAAAAACCTTACCTCGATGCGATGGTTGACAGGGGGATTTCAAAATTAACATGCCCTTGTAACTTTCTATTTCCGTGCCAATGAGTACTGAGAAGCCAATGGGGTTCATATCAATTCTTCTGTGACTAACCAGCTGCACAGGAGAGCCAAGCCCTGGAAAAGAGTTTAAATCAGATTTTTTGGAAACATCATTGCAAAGAGGTGGTAACTCTTTCAAGGAGGCAAGGCAACAAAGCCCCACTCAAGGCAAATGCTGCTCTACCATAAGCTAGTCCTCCTCACCTTGCGAAGATGGATGGGGTTGGAAAGACCTTTCTTGTCAAGTAGTTCATTGTGTCTCAGATTGACCTCATCAATTTCCACCTCCAAGTCCTGCTGTCATCTCTCCCAAAGACCACAGATGCTGAATGGAGAGAAATAAAGTTAGATTCCTGCCCTCTGTCCTGCCCAGCAGGCCTTTGTCAAGCCTTCCGGAAGGCTCACAGCACCCGTGCTCTTTCCCCATCCCTCCCACACTCAAGCCGTCCAAAGCAATTGAAGAGGTGGCAGGATCTTCCCACTTCTCCAGAGCCAACATAGCCTTAGACCCTGGGAGATCCACACTTCAGGGAGGGCAGGAGCCCGTCAGTGGGAAAGCCCCAGGGGGAGAGCTGACGGGAGGAAGCTTGGGCTCTGGCCTAGGTCAAGCTCTGCTCCCCTTCCCCTGCCTCAGGAGTGACCAATGCATCCTGGGGTGGCTTCTCACCTACCAACAGCATGTCGCCCTGAATGGTGTCCCTTTCCTGGAAAAAACAGCTCAGGAACTGCCCCGTTCATGCTCCAGTCTACTCTGGGGCTAGGTCCCCCTGGACAGTGAAAGAAGATAAGGTCTTCTTGGTCCTTTCTAAGAGGACCCATTAGAAGGACAAGGCCTCACGTGAGGGTAGGCAAGATGATTGTAACAGTGACACTGATCTTTCTTCACAGTGGAGGCAACGACCACAAGTGCCCCGGAATCCTCTCGAGAGCAGGACCTCCAGCAGCTCTATCAACAAATTGAAGCTCTGCAGACAGCTTTGAAGAACATGCAGTTGTCCACACAGCAAAACTTTGAGACGCTCAGAGCAGACATGGACAGCCAACAAGGTGAGCAGGCCATTCCCAGGATGACCTTCATCTCTCAGAACGCAAAAGCTGCTCTACAGACAAACCATCTTGTAAGTTACTCCTTTGAGCCTCCTGAAGATGGATGGGGTTGGAAAGAACTTTCTTGGCAAGTAACTCATGACCTGTGCCAGTGAGACACCTCCATGCTCAGCTGTCGACTGAGAGTAGTCAAAGTCCCTCCTCTCTCCCTCAGCATTGAAAGGAGGTGGCAGGATCTTCCCACCTCTCCAGAGCGCATGTGCCCTTAGACCGCGGCAGGTGCACGCTTCAGGGAGGGCAGGAGTCCGGCAGTGGGAAAGCCCCAGGGGGAGAGCTGAAGGGAGGAAGCTGGGGCTCCGGACTCTATTTTCTGGGAGGTTCTTCCCTGTGAAATTGGATGTCTTTTCTGGTCCATGGTCTGGCCATTCCTCTATCCTCTCTATCTCACCTTACAAAAAAATGAATTGCTGAGCTCATCTCACAACAGCTTTTAGTTCTCCATGGATTTACAGGGAACAACTTGGAGCTGTGCCTGTGCATCCTGCCTATGAATAAAAACCGTCACACATGCGGATGTACTTTTTTCTCTTGAAGACTCATTCCAAATGAGAACAGAACTACCTATGATAGCAGTGGGGGG